GAGCGATGGAAATATGAATATTATGTCGATTACGCACTGTTCTACGATCCTTGCCACCACGGCTAGACCTAGTCCGACCCCGCCACCGACGCTCGTTTTAGGCTCCATAGATTCGACCTGCTCGAATTCTCTGAAGATACTTGCTAACCGTTCAGGAGCAATACCACATCCGGTATCTGCTACCATTATCTCTACGGCGGTTGTTTAGGTCCCCGGAGCCCTTCAGGCTCTTCGAACGTTGTACAACCGACAGTTATAGAGCCATTAACCGTGTATTTCACTGCCACGTTATCAGCCACCTGCAGCAGGTCCCCCATGCAATAAACGTACAAGAATTGGCGGTCAGATTCTGGACCACTGTCCGTATCTTCTTGGCATCCCCGACAACCGTTTTAGGAGACTGCTCGAGTTCCAGCTTGAAAACGATATCTCGCCGTTGGGCCTCTTTACGATAGAGATGTGTCGCATCTTCGATTGTTTCCTGGAGGTTGAAAGGCTCGTTGAACGAGGTCTCATTCCCACTTTCGAGTCGAGTGAGATCCTACAGGCAATACTCGTCAGTCCTCCGGTCGATCTAGGTGCAAACCACAAAAGTACCAGCAAATCGTTGATGGTGAAAAGCAGACTCTGTTGATAACTTAGCGCTTGAATAGGAGGATGTATAGGCAACTTGCCTTAGACGCCGCATGCGATCGATTGAGATTATCGCGGGTTTCATCATCCAATGGCCCGTTCAGTGCCATCTCAAGATAACTGGAAGACGTTGTAGTGCTGCTGTGCTAGCCAACAAGCCACTCACTTGATAATATGATTGAGCGGTGTTCGCACTGGGATGTTGAGCTTTAGAAAAGAAATACGACAAATACGGTGTCATCTACCTTCGTGTGAAGCATTCGAGAGCAGTAGGTTGGTGAGCCTAGTGGTCTGCAGAGCATTCTCCTTCTGCCTCCAGACTTCTATGAACTTTCCACGGTGTTAACGTCAAGAAACAGTCATAAAATTGAGTTGATCTACCTTGCCATATACCCTTCGTTCAGCGTGTCAGAGAGAGAAGCTTGGGAGGTCATTGAGGGCTCACAATGCAAGGACACCCGCAGTTTCCAGATTCTCGTCAGTCCATGCGCGACACCGACCCTGCACATCGTCAGCGGAACACAAACTCCTCAAAAAAATGCGGCGTACAGCAACGGTTTCGGACCATACGGCGAATGATTTGCGAGGCTCAAGGATGGTGTCGCGGCTAGTATTGTCTTTGGCTGGATTGCCGGCCCAATTGACGTGTTTCGGCTGTCCCTTGCGCAGGAAACAAATGAAATCCTTGCCTTCGCTCGAGAGTGGCACATAAAGTAGACCCGCCACAACCTCCAGTCCCGCAGACAAATTCAGATCCTCGTAATCCATCGTCACGGCTTGAGAGCATTGGATCGTGCTTAAACATCGGGTCTCAGTCCAGAAGAGAGACGGAGTAATGTGAATGGGACACTGACGTAAACTGCTTCAGACGCAGGTACTCGGCCATGATGAGGATCTCCTGCCCGTGATCATTAGGTCCAAGCATCTTCGCAGCTTCTCCAATCTGGTGAGATACTGGCTTGTCAATGTGTTCACATAGCACTACAGCAAGTAACTCACGACCAGCACTCCGAAATCGGCGTCGAACAGACCGAGAAGATCGTCAGCGTTGCTAACAATGTAGCCAGTCTAATGCCACGTCATCAGGAATAATGCGGGCCAGAAAGAGAGGCCGATACGCACTGGGTGGTTATCAGAAGCCATCGTGTTTATCTAATTGAAGAGCAGAAGGTCAATCCAAGCAGTACACTTGCAGTAACTTTCACCCACCAGCTTTCTTGTCGTTAATCGTTGTGCGTAGCTCAGGCGCTCTATATTTCGCGATATGGATTGACTGAGGAGGCGCAGCATCTGCCGCACAGGGAAGGAGACCCGCATACCACTTGCCCCATAAGAGTGGCATGTAACGAGCCCCCAGAGTGCCCCAAATGCCATGATAGACTGGATAAAAATTATGATTGGTGCCTTTAATGTTTGGATTCGACTCACCACAGACATCGATGCTCGTACTCCCATGTTTTCTAGATCTATGTGGCAGTGGCAGTGTTAGTGGGCTAGCTTGGAATAAGGGTAAAAGGTGCGCACATTTTATATGGATGGGGCTCATCGCGCGCAAGTAGCAATGCGTCATGTTCTACAACAGAGTTGAGAAGTTTTTTGTGATGGGCGCCGATGATCATACCAGGGGCGTATTCAAATCTTGTAGGCCCCGGACGACAATCCGAGCCGTGGGCTGCGAACGGTCATACAGTAGGCGCACTTTATCTGTAGCCAAGATAGCTCAGCCGCTGAAACTCTACTGGCGACCTAGCACGCACTGATAGCATAAAGTTGCCTGGCCTTCCAAGAAAACACATCAGTCAGCAGTCGTTCCACGAGGGCAACTTGCTCACCTGTTGAGGAATATCGGACGCTGGGAAGTGTAGTCCGCGATACAATTCTTGCGTCTTGGAGTAGTCTAAAGCTCGGCAACAACCTGCCCATTCCACGCCTCATCAAACTGATACACGAGCACGCGGTGGAAACGCGACAGGTCTTTGATGACACCAACGACGACCTTGAGGAAGGCGTCTAGGTCCGGAGCCGCCCCAAGCTGCTCGTTGATCTGCGCCATTACGGCGAATACGTCCATCATTCCTACGCCATTGGCGCCGCCGCCCATTCGTCGACTGCGCTTCGAACGGCTCTCCTGGCGCGGCGAGGTGCCGCCAGACGCGGCGGCCTCACCACGTGCAATTCGCCGGAGACGCTCGAGCGCGAGGAGGGGCTTAGCACGAGAGGTTGTGCTCTCGAGAATCTGTTCCGCGGTAGGGCCAGTACTATCGATGCGGACCTCCCCCACATCGCTTGGGGGCTGATCACTGGGGGAGTTCGTCCCACCGCCGGCGACTGCAGCAATATTGAGTGCGCTTGAATCAGGGGTAGTGGGCCCCCCCACGCAGGTCTCTTCCGACCATCCGTCGACGATCCCTCTCCGTCGGTGCTAGCAGACCCGAGTGGTGTCCCGATGCTGACGGTGGGGTCATCGCTGCTGAACGGTCGGTACAAGGGATTCAAGGCATCTTGCTCGAGTTCAAACTCCATGATGATCAGGCCTTGAGATGCGACCGTGGGGTCGATCGAAGCGGGTCGATGCACGGCACCACAAGCACGTCCATGCGCGGCGACCGTTACTAGCCTCTTGATCGTCCGGTGCAGCGCTTCCAGGTGCACCCCCATCCGGTGAGAAGAAACACGTGCGGCGAACCTTCCTCGTCCTCCGAGTTGGGATCGGACTCTGAGAGGAACTGGTATATTATTCCCACAGGCTGTGCCGGCTTGAGACTCTTGGGGAGTGTGTCTGTGATAACCACTCGAGAGAAATCGGTAGCGCGGAGAAAGTCCTAGGAGCTCCTCTGTCATTACTGTTGAATTCGGGATCAGATTATGCATTAAAGAAAGACAAAATGCACGGCCACCTCCGAAACTTGACGGACAATCAGCGCGTCTTCAAGTTCATCGACTGCAATAAGAACACCAAACCCTTGCACTGCAGGCGTGCGAATCGGCTAGAGTTGAATGGGTCAGCCACCTTGACCCGACCGAGAATTAATGCACAGTACCTCGTCTTCACAGCGAGATAGCTTGCCCTCTCGTCCCGTAACGACATGGTTTCCGTTGGCGTCCTCGATGTGCTGAAATCGGACGGTCACAAACCGCGACGCATCGCTCGCATCTGACCCCGAGACCGAGTCTGACATCCCGTTCGACAGGGACGATTGTGAGGATCCTTGCGCATCGCTGCCGCCCCTCTCTTCCTCTATCCGTGAAGACTCGGGGAGGGAGTTGGAAACAGATGGGCTCCTCTGGCTTGCGTTCTCAGAAGGGGAAATGAGAGACGTAGAGGCATGACTACTGGGTCCGCTGGGCGGTAGTGGGGGGAGATGAACAAGTCCGTATTCGGAGGGGTTCCAGGGTAATAAGGCGACGTCTTCTGCCGGGGGTAGAATTTCATCATCAACAGGCGGTTGCTCCACCAGGTCCTCATTTGGCGGGTGAGTGGGAGAGTCGGTGGGCGGGGCCGAAGCAACATTAGCTGCAGATGAAGAATGGGAAAATAGCAAAGAGATCTGGTGAAAGATGGCTCAATGAGAGAGGATTGCTCGTAAAGGTCCGCTGCACAGGAGACAGATCGTCCTCGTTCGGATAGTGTCTGAAGTTGGGATTCGTCACGCTTTTACGGCCACGACGTCTACGAGATCTTTTTGGGCGAAGAGAGCTGTCTGTATTCGGGGAGGAGCCGGAGGAGTGCGACAGAGATCTCCTGCGGACGGTTCCATTTTGAACACCGTCGGCATCGTTGTCTGGGCACGGAGAACGCGAGACCGTGTCCGTGTCGACTGGGTGTCTCGTGCTGGCTGGATAGTGCCATTGAGAAGAGATCGTACTGGATACACGAATGAAGGAGAAGTTCTGAGCGTGTCCGCGTCCGGGAGAGCCATGTACAGAGATGTGTAGAACGGAATGCAGGGGCGCCTTTCGGGCTTTGATCAGAGATGATGTCATATCGTGGGGTTCAACGTCATGGGTTCAAATAATTGCCCAATTTTCTGGGCAGAATCTGCTCAAGAAAGTGCCAGCCTTGAACGCGCGGTTTTTTGTATAAAAAAAACGCACGAAGTCGCCCACCAAGACGCGACTTGGTGCACTTTTGCTGCACGCTATTCGACGGCGTGCCTTCGTAGAAGATACGGCCTCTATGACTGGTCTAGTGGTACGATACTTGGTTCCATGCTTCAAAAAAAACGCTAGGAAACGTAGTAGCAGCTTTTGTGAAAAAAATGCACCAAGTCGCCATCAAATGGACTAGGTGCATTTTTGCGCATTTTTTCTTCTCGAAATATCTACATTCAGCGGTGTGTCTTAATAGAAGATCAGGACACTTCCAAGCCTCTATGGTCTAGTGGTACGATACCTGCTTTGGGAGCTTGTGAAAGCATCAATTGCAGGTGGCCCGGGCGGGTTCGAATCCCCGTGGAGGCCCTTTTTGCTTTTGTTTGTCTTGCTTTTTTTTTTTTTTGGAAACGATTTGTGGTGGAACACACTACAAGAAGCTGCTGAGATGGTAGGTGGTTGGTTACACTTGGAA